AAAGATAAAAAGGACAACAAAGACAAGGATAATAAGGTAAACACGTTGCCCACAAAAGAAAGACATTGCAAATGTTTTATTTGTGGAGATCCAGGACACATTAGACCAAATTGCCCTCATCGATACAAACAAAACCCTATTAAAAGAATACAAGAAAAGATCAATATACTCGAAGATATTGAAGAACAGATAGAGGAATTATATGAATTAGAAAGCATTTATGACTCTGACGATGATAATGAAAGTATATATAGTATTGAGAGCTTAGATAGCAACTTTGATAATGATGAAGACTTTGAATAAGGACTTCATTCATTAGAAGATTTCGTTTATACTGTAAGTATTCCATCATGTCAATATAACGCAGTTAGTTTTCAATTTTCCTTTTATAATTGTAAACAGTGCAACATATCTATTAAAAAAGGTCATTACTGTGAAAACCATTGTAAAACTTTATTATGTCCTAATTGCTACACAAAATATGAAGATAAGCAAGAAGATATTTTAGTAGAATCTATAAATTCAATATATAAACCATCTAGTCTAATTCAATTCCCAATAACATTAGAATTTAGAGAAAAATTAGTTCAAACCTCAGCTATGCTTGATACTGAAGCATCTAAAAGTATAATTCAAAACCATTTAGTCCCAGACGAAGTCTTAGTAAAGTTAAATTATAATATTAATATGAGCCAGTATAATAATGAAAAACTTCTAATAACCCATTGTGTTCAAAACATTCCTATATTAATTAATAATGAAAAGCTCGTTTTACCCCAGACTTACGTAGTTAATAATATCCCTAGCACATATGATTTTATCTTAGGATTAAATTTTATAAACTCACTTACCGGAGGATTTATGTATACCCCTACAGGCTTACAGTTTTTTAAAAAAGGAACCTTTATTCCGTCTAAAAATCCTTTTATTCCTCAAAAAGATAAAGGAGCCATTACATATGTTAATACTCTACCTATGACAGAAGAAATGACAGAAAATTTATTTGATGTATTCAAATTTTTAGAAGACGTTTCTGAAGCCTTAATGTTTCTTAGTCATCTTGATGAACCAAAGATTTTCCTTAATAATAAAGCCATATTAAAAAACCCCAAACTAAACATAGATAATCTCATAAGATTAGCTGAAACCACAGAAATTTTAGGTGAAGACCCCCAGATCACTGGTATAAAAATAAAATTGAAGCAAAATTAAATATAATAAATCATTTTATAACTATCAAGACACAAGATAATCCTCATACCTTAGATGATCAAGAAGAATTCCAAAGACAAATTAAGGAGCTGTTATTACTAAAAGTAATACGAAAAAGTAATAGTAGATATAGAAGTCCAGCTTTTATGGTTAGAAATCATGCCGAAATAAAAAGAGGAAAGACTCGTATGATTATAAATTATAAAAGATTAAATGATAATACCTATGATGATAGTTATAAAATCCCTAATAAAGATGTTTAATAAATCGAATCCAAGATCGAAAATAGTTTTCTAAATTTGACTGTAAATCAGGATTTTGGCAAATCCGGATGGCTGATGAATCCATTGAATGGATAGCGTTCACATGTCCTGAAGGACATTATGAGTGGTTTGTTATGCCTTTTGGATTAAAAAATGCACCCCAAGAGTTTCAGCGAAAAATGGATACTATATTTAATAAACACTCAAAATTCTATTGTATTTACATCGACGATATCTTAGTCTTCAGTCAAACTAAAGAAGAGTATAGAAAACATCTTGAAATTATATTCACTGAGTTCATAACACAAGGACTCATTATAAGTAGTAAAAAGATGATATTAGAAAAACAAGATATTGAATTCTTAGGTTTATACATAAAAGATGGAACAATAGAATTACAATCTCATATTGTTAAAAAGATTCTAGACTTTCCTGATAAATTAGAAAAGACCAAGTTGTTACAAGCATTTTTAGGATTATTAAACTATGGTCGCAATTTTATTCCAAAATTAAGACAATTAGTCGGACCTTTATATTCAAAACTAGGAAAACATGGTCAAAAGTATTTAAATACCCAAGATATGGAATTAGTTAAGAAAATTAAATCTTTAGTCTCGCAGTTAAAACCTTTACAACTTCCATTTGAAAAAAGTTATAAAATTATTTAAACAGATGCATCAGCTCAATGATGGGCAGAGTTATTTCTTCAAAGACCAACAAAAGAGTCTTCCTGAGATGAATAGCAAATTTGTCGCCATACTAGGGGAACCTTTAATAAAGCACAATCTATTTTACCCTCCACGGACTTAGAAATTTTAGGGGTAACCAACTCTATTGAAAAATTTCAGATTTTCCTTGATAAAGAATTTCTTATACGAACAGATTGTGATAATATAGTTAAATTCGCAAATAAAGCAAAACAACAGCGGATGTCTGCTAAGAGATGGATTTCCTTTATTGACTGTATTACTGGAAGAGGTTTTAAACCTATATTTGAACATGTCAGATGAAAAGATAATTATTTAGCAGATATTCTATCTCGTTTACTTATCGATTGTTAAATTTTGCAGGAATGGAGATCACGAGCAATAATAGCTATAGCCTTATACCAAGCACTTCTAATTCTCTTTTAATTATCCAAAACCCAGCTCAACAGTTCCACGCTAGACATAATATTTTTCCTAACCAAAAACTTATTTTAGATAATATTTGGTTTTCTATAAACAACCCCGATAGAACCCTCGTTAGAAATCTAAATACCTTAAGTGAATATTTTGTATCAATTAATAAAGCATATCAGAATTTACAAAAGGAGCGCGAGATTCTTATATCTTATTATAAAAAGTTAAATTTAGCCTATCAAAGATCAACAGAAAACCCCACAGAATTAACTATTTCTGAACAGATAACTAATGAAGATGAAAATCTTCAAAAAGTTCAATTTTTGCAGGTACAAACCAAGTATGCTAAGTTTCTACCCCTCTTTTCCTCAACTTACAGAGAAATCCTAAGACAACAAGTTGAGCTATTTCCTAATGATCTCAAAGACCTTATTCTTGAAGAGATTAAGTCTGATGGTCTCACAGAGTGGGTTGATATCCAAAACTACCTTAAAAATAACAGTCCACCCAAATGAACCCGATATAACTACTTTTTCCTACAATTTATACAAACAGGCACCCAGATACCTATGTCCGTCATCTTGTTAGATGTAGATCATATTTTCTTTATTCTTTTTGAAATAACTAGAAAAACCCTTTTCTCTACCTTTAACCATTTGATATACTATAAAGTTTATCGACAAATTAACCAAAGCTACAATCCTGGTTTCAGACTCTACGATCATAATATCAAAATGAAAATTTTTGTTAAGGCAAGAATTCCTCGTGTTATTAAGTCTCCTCCAGAGATTAAGATATCCCCGGAAGTTGAAGAAATAATAAACGAGGAAAAAATATTGTTAGAACAGCTTGAACTGGCCTACAGAAACGAATAAACTAACTCACCAAACAGCACTGATGAATATCTGGTCCGCATGCACAGAGGCGATATCTCACCAGCTAGCCCAACCGACAGAAATTTGGATAATATGCACGGATTTTGAGCAAAAAGCAAATTCTCTACAATAAAGATAAAGGCAACTTCAGCTTCCAAGGAAAATTAGGTCCTCAATAGTGTACAGATAAAAACAGATCCATCGAAAGCAGATTCCCAACAGCAAAAGTTGATATAATTCTCAACAGTTCAGCAATAATTCGGGTCATCTTATATCTAAAGCATCTTGAATCTCAACCGTCCATGCGGCATCTTCAATCTCAACCGCTGATTCATCCCTCTCTTCTGCTATAAAAGGAGCCTCTCTGCTCAAATGAAATCAATCGATCTTAAGAAGCCATCAAGTCTCGAACCATCAAGCATCCAACCTTCAGTTTCCAGTGTGTTTTCTTTTGTGATTTCCTTTAGTATATTTCCTTTGTAACATATAGTGTGAGCGTGTATCCATGTAGAAACAGAGTGTATTCATGTATATATTTTTCATGAAATAAATCATCCAGTTTGCTCTTGTTCAACAATTTCCTTTTCTTTATTTAGTATTTTCAGTATTTTCGGGCAAAAGACTTCTGTCGACAAAAAGATAAAAAATATAGATTTTATTTAGCCAGACAGTGTAGATCCTAGAATTTTCACGTATTCCAACCAGTACAAGCAGCCTTAGTTTGATTTAGCAATTTCTTCTGTGAGTTGACTCGAACTGTTGGCTTGTTGGCCCGTTCTTTGCCATTGTTCAAGCGTTTCTACATGGCGTTATCAGAGCGTTATCAGGTTCGGCAGTCATTTCTGTGATTTAATTGTTAAATTGATTCTATGTTATTTTGCATGCTTCTATCTGGTCGGATCCATCTCAATTTTGGTATCAGAGCTATACTGTTTCATTAAATTAAATTTATATATGCAATCTTTTGTCTAAAGAAGTCTATAAGTCTTTATTAAGCTACTGTCTATTTTAATTAAAAAGAAAAGAAAAATATTAAATATTTTGTTCCAAAAACCTTTCTATAATCTAAGACTTTTGTTCTATTAACATATTACGTTGGGTCATTTTAGTATTATAAGTTCTTTTGTGATATAAAGCATAAAGTGGAATCCATTTTAGAGAAATATTCTCTAGGTCAATCATTTTAAAAAAAATCGACACTTTATTTTCATTTTAGAATAACGTTCATGTATTAGTAATTATCCCTTTCTTTTAACTCAAAAATAGTACGGAGTATAATAATAATAATAATTGTGTTGTCTTTTTTTCCAAAAGTATATTGTATGCAACTTTGCGTGTGTGTGTGTGTGTGTGTGTGTGTGTGTGAATTATTAACATATTTCTCAAATAAGTTCCAGATAAGATTTATGTTGAGCCTCGAGATGATCATATAGTACAGTAATGAAGGATAATTTTTACCATGTACTAATATATAATTATACAAACACGTAGAGAGAGAAAGTGCCTTGGTCAAGTGGGGAAGCACTTTTCCTTCTCTCTCTCTCTCTCTCTCTCTCTCTCTCTCTTCTCTTATTGACAAACAAATCTCTTTCACTCACCAGTCGCCAGAGCCTCGAAAGGAAAGCTCCACGGATAAAAAGGACTTCTCCGAAAATATCATTTTCGACCAGAAACAATGAGCAACGAATAGTATGATTCTCTCTCCTCTCTCTCTCTGCAACGCATTTCGTTATCATTTTCTTCTTTATTTTTATTTTTATTTTTATATTTTAATCTTTTACCTTTTTTGCATATAGCGATTATTTGTTCAAGCTTTTGTTAATCGGAGACTCCTCCGTCGGAAAATCGTGTATTCTTCTTAGGTTTGCTGTGAGTTCTCTCTCTCTCACACACTACACACGCATTTTTATATTTAATTCTTTTCCTCTTTGGATTATTAAATGTTGTAGTTAACTTTTCAGGAATGAGCATTTTTGGTAATTTTTTTGTATTGTTTGTTAATTTAAGGACGATTCATATGTCGATAGTTACATCAGTACAATCGGGGTTGATTTCGTGAGTCTCTCTTTATATTTTCTCTCTCTATATATATATACATATTTATATATATATATATATATATATATATTGTGCATTCTGTTCTTAGGTTATCTTTCACATGTTTAGGTTTTTAATTAAGATATTTGAACTTTCTGGTGATCTTCAGAAAATTAGGACTGTAGAGCTGGAGGGAAAGACAATCAAGCTGCAGATTGTGAGTAAAGACTCCATATATGTTGTATAAAGTTATGCAGACTTTGGTTGAGGGTTTCTTTTCTTTTGTCTTCATATTTGGTGAAGTTTTACTACTGTTGGCTCTTTTGGGTCTTGGGTATGTTAAATTAATAGTGCAAAAAAAAATTGTTTAATGTTTAGGTGCAACTGTATTTGTTCTCAACTAACTGCTGTGGAAAAAAAATAATCACCTTTTGTTAATTGGAGAGAGTTTAGCTTTATGATGAATTGTCCAATTATGTAAATGGAGCTTTAAAAATATTGTTATTTTCGTCAAATATTTTCAAACAAAATTCCTGGTGGGACTAACGGACACTAAAATGTTAACATTTGTCAATTCAAGTAAGACGGTAATGATTTATGAAGGTTCATTTTATTTTTTATTTTTTTAATCTCCGTAAATTCATGGACTATTGAAAAATCATATTATATCTAATCAAACCAATTGCGTCCAATTATTGACTACGACTTCTCCCTGTAAATTTCTCGGTATGCAAAAGGGCATAGCAAAACTCAGTTGAATTAAAAATATGTGAACCCTGTTCTTATGTGCAAATCCTCTTAGAAAATTGAATAAGTATGTCAAATTTCTCTTGCAACTGATGGATTTTTCTATCTGTCATTTGTCTGGTGGAACTGATAGCTTGAACCGAAGTTACCATGTTCCTTGAATAAGAATGTCAAATTTCTCTTGCAACTGATGAATTTTTCTATCTGTCGTTTGTCTGGTGGAACTGAGTTCCTTAAGTAGCAAGTTTTATAGAAAATAGAGACCTACTTTCTTTGTTTTTCTGTTAAAATCGTATTGTGTTACACAAAGATGAAAATAGGATTCCTTGTTAAGTCTTTAATGCAGCTTGCAATTGATGAGAATGAAGATCATTGATATAGTCACTTGTTACCTGTGTCAGTCATGTGGCCTAATTTCAGAGTCAACTCAGAATTAATTACTTCGGAGAAAACGTTTGAATTCTACAATTATACTTTTGCCCTTGTTTCTCTTTTATGGTTGCATTTTTATGGTGGAGAATGTTGGCAGGATAATAACTGTGTATCACTAATAGTGTGAAAAAGCTTTATTGAGTATTGATGTTATGTCTTATTGTCTATTTGTTTAGTGGGATACTGCTGGACAGGAGCGGTTCCGTACTATAACTAGCAGTTATTACCGTGGAGCACATGGGATCATCGTAAGAAATATTGTATTCTATATCCAGAATTTTCTTTGATATTAATAAATATCTGGTCCTTTGTTTATAGTGATTTTATCATTGCATTGGATAAGAAACAAAGTCTATGCTGGCTTACATGCAATTTACTGCTTCCAAATGCAATTATGCATGCTTATCACTTATCAACTACTCCGAGTGTAGCTTATTTACTTATTTTTCGTCTGTTTATATTCAGATGACCAGCTTGACAGCATTTTACTGAACCCAAAAATCCTTTCACTTCATGTTCCCTTTGCTTATACTATTTAACAAGCTTGAATGCTTATCGATTATTCATGTCAGCACTCTGTTTTATCTATCAAAAGAAAGGTATTCATATCAGGGTTCATTATATGTAGTTTTCTACCAAAGGGCCTCAAGCGCAATGGTATAACCACCCCATTCTCAAAGAGGAGGGGAGGGGTTTGAGCCCCGATGTGGGTGAAGTGCTTGTGAGTTACTTACCTGATCAAAAAAAAAAAAAAAATTATATGCGGTTTTCTAGTCTAGGCTTCACAAGTTGGAACTCTACCCAAGTTAAATAACTTCTATCGTCTACTTGGGTCAAAGGAAGTCACTACTTATGGAACTCACTTTCTTTTATATAATGTTGGTAGTGGCAATAAAGCTTATGATGATGATTCCAAGTACCCTTTTTCATTTGAGCTTACAAAGAATTTTACATGAACTGAGATTTGCAACAGATTGTCTATGATGTCACTGAGATGGAGAGCTTCAACAATGTTAAGCAATGGTTGAATGAGATTGATAGATATGCAAATGACACTGTATGCAAGCTTTTAGTTGGGAATAAATGTGATTTAGTTGAAAACAAGGTCGTGGACACACAAACAGCAAAGGTAAAGCTGCTTTATTTTTCTAAACTAATATAGCTTCATTTATTTTATTATTTGATACCGAGTTTCTGCTCCACAATTATGTTCAAACTCTGGGGAATTTTTATCCTTAATTAGTATCTCTATGGACAATGTAGCCAAATGTTCCAGTAATATCATAATCCAAGTTTATATTTTTTTTTCTCCAGATTTCTATATGTATGTTAATGTGTACATTTCATCAAATTGATTGCATGCTTAGTGGTTAGTTGGACAGCTAATTCTTGCTTTCAGCTCTCTAGTGTCAGTTTACTCTGTTTATCCTGTCTTAAGTGTAATAAAAAGTAAAATATAAAATTGAACCAATAATTTGGAATGGAATTGAATATGTATATTAAAAAGCTAAGATAAATTCAAATTGAAGAAGAAGTGTAAAATTCAATATATGTGTTTTCTGTATAAAAGGGGACATATAATATGTTTGAAGTTAACAGGTTTCCTCCTAATTTGGTTGCTAATTTGTCATGACTTTGCTGTTTTATTGTTGTCTTATAGATTTGCTTTCCGCATTACATTTTAGTATAGTGGTGCTTACCTTCTGTTCTCACACTTGAATAAGTACTGGCATTATAAATTTAGATGATGTCATTACCTCAAACATCTTTTAGGGTTGGTTTTTTTGTGGTAATTCAGTTTGGAAGTTTTTCCTTTATGCTGCTATGGTTGATTGGAAAAGTTGCAGAGAATTATCTGCAAATCCCTCAACATCCTTTTTGGATATACTTGAAGTTGCAAAAAGCTTCCAAAAATTTGAAAAAATTAACTGCTTAAGATATGAATAAATTTTTTCCCCTTAACTAATAGATAGAATCACGAAAGGATTTTTTATTTTATTTCTTTTGATAAGTTCCTTAATTTTACTCACGTGCATAAAAGCCTCAAGACTCAAAGAGCTTCCTACTTGAGAAGTAAAAGTTTTCATATTTTGCATCTCAGGCTTGTCTGATCGTATGCCCTTCATGGCTTTTAAGATGTTGTTTGTATCTGGGTAGTTATGTCTGTTGGTCATTAGGCATAAGATGATGTTTGCGATAAACTTATTTGCAAGTGAAAATGATAAAACTTTTTTCATTACTTTCTTGGGGAGATATTTTGTGCTGATTTAATACAATGACAATCTAGTGGCAGATGCCTATTAGTTGCTATGTCAGTAAACTTGAGGACATACCAATCTCTCTCTCACACACACACAAGCACATCATACTCCTTATTCCGGTCTAATTTGATTCCATCGTCCTGAATGTGAATGAACTGCAGGCATACGCAGATGAGCTTGGGATACCTTTCCTCGAGACTAGTGCAAAAGACTCCATTAATGTGGAGCAGGCTTTCTTAACCATGGCTGGCGAGATAAAGAAGAAGTAAAGCCACTAATGAAATTTTTCCATGTTTCTATTGTTCCATATAATATGGTCTTTTACCAATTCACACATGCTAATAGTTGCTTCTTGGTTGAAAATCGGGAACTTCCCCAATCTTCTCAGATATTCTTAGCATAACCTCTCTAAGGTTTCTAATTTTACTTCAAATACTAAATAGTGGCCCTAAAAACTACTCTAACAAGATAGGCAAATGATATCATAGAAGCCTCAAGTTGTGAAGGCAAGTGAAATGGAATCATTATAAAATTTCAATGCTTTCTACATAGGTTCATTGTGTTATTTGCTCAGACTTTAGAATCCCAAAGTTAAATGAACCATGACTTGATGAACTATTCTACTCCTCTTCTCAGGTTTCCTAATTTCTTTTATGATTATCTTGTATGCAACTGGCACAGCCAACACCTTTTTATCCACCTTGGCAAGAAACTTACTCACACGCCGACTTTACCCCGAAGGGGACTTGAACCCTCGACCTTCTACTTTGGAAGGTGAGGAAGTACCACTAGGCTACAGCTCTTGGTACACCAACACCTTCTGACATTATTGATGGTCTTTGCTTAGTCTGGGCCTGTAATCAGTAGTATCCCAGATTAATTTTGTTTCTTTTCAGTCGCCCTTGACTCTGATCTTTGTGTATTAAAACTAAATTTTAGTAGTTCTTTAATTTTGTTCTATTGTTTAATAATTCTGCAGAATGGGTAACCAGCCAAGTGATAACAAGTCAACAGGCCATGTTCAAATGCAGGGACAGCCGATCCAGCAAAAGAGCAACTGCTGTGGTTAACTACTGCTATTGTATTTTCAGTTCTTTTTTAAGGATGGTAAGCAACGTAGTAAAACATCATTTGACTAAATTAGTTTATGTGGATTTTCACATAATTATGTTTCCAACTCTAGCCTCTTTATCTGCAGTTTCCCTTTCCTGTTTATATGAAAAAAGAGTTCTTAACTATCACAAAATGGCATTCCAGATTATCTTTGAGGGGTCCCAATATATGGGTTGTGTCATTCTCTTTGTCGGCATGCAACTAATGTGGCATAATTCACCTGAGTTTGATTGCTTACAAAATGGGAATGTGGAACATCAGTAAGCCCCCAACCCTAGTTTTTAATGCTTAGGAAAACCACCATCCGCATAAATTCATTTTTGGTTCTATATTTGTCCGCAATTCAGCGACCAAATAGAAGATCAATAAATGAGTAGCAAAAGATTGAAAGAGGAAATTAGGATAGAATGATGCATCTTTTGGACACTTGAAGTATAAGCAGTTGTCTGGCTTAATTATTAGTCTTTTCTTGGTGGTTGCCCCAAAGGAGAGGGGGATGAAATAATATGTTGAAGTTGTGAGAATATGAACTGCTATGGTTGGATCGGGTGCAACAAAATAATTTGTAACTAGAGTGATGCATGTTTGTTAGAGTATACATAATTTGGAGCAGTGCGAAATTCTTGTACTGGTGCGAAGTAGTAAGTTTTTCCTATGAGCTCAACAGTGATGCTGTTATCTTCAATTTCTTTTTCTTCAAAGCAAAGATCCATTGGTGATGCTGCTTCAACAAATCAAGTTCTTCTGAGGTTTAGGAACAAATAATATGGAACTGGCTCCAGGGTGTCCGACGTTTTATTTACCCTCTGATAGAAATCAATACGATGTTGAACAATCAGGATTATGAAATGGCTGCCGCCGCCGACTGTATTGAATTGTAGAAACTAGAGACAAAACCATCTTTAATGGTGGATGGCGGAGGATAGTTTTCATCTATACATATGGCATGCGGCATTTTTTGTTAATCAGTGGAAGTTAGGTTATCCATGTATTTGGAGCTGCCTTTCAGGTATGTTATTGTTTACATAACTATTTTGGTGCTTTCAGGAAAAAGCCCTTCCAAAAAGTAAAATGACAAGGAGTCGACTATTTTATGTGAGTGAATGACATTATCATAATTAATGACGTCATCCTCCCTCACATAAATGAAGTCCGATTAGTCCAAAGGTTCTGTATCGCAGCCCTTGTTATTATATGAAGATTGCTAGATTTTGCATTTAAAGAAAGTAGTCTGCAACTTCTTTAGTTAGTTCTGGCTCTCTTCATCTTCCAACTCTCAATATGTTTTGAGGCCCCTCAGTTAATCATTTCCATGAAAAAAAGTTGTTACACACACACACACGGACTAAAAAACGCGCGCGCACACATGCAGGCACTACAAAACACACAATCAAAAGAAAACAGGACAGTAAGACCATTAGACGTTGGCCCATTAACATTTTCTTGTACATTTCTGCTTAGCATATAAGAATCTATTCTCAAGGTCCAATGTGTTCATGGACAGTGTTCTCCCCTGGACAAGAGTTTCCCCCGGAGTAAAGCAACTAGAAGAAATGAAATCTTAAATGTCACAACAGAAGCAGATCCTACTCTGTAAAGATCTTGAAAGTGCAACGCCTTACCAAATGATCTCTAGTCCAATGGTATAACCTCTCCATCCTCAAAAAGAGAATCTCTAGTACAGTAGGGGAAAGGGTTCGAACTCAAACACGGGCAAAAGTAAACGTGTAAATAAATAAATAAATAAAACATTTTACATCAAGTATGCAACATCCCTACTTCTGAACTTGCAGCACAGTTGCTTATTTTTACATCAAGGGTGTGAAGGAATGGTGTTGCATCTTTGAAATAAGGTGTTTTCCAACGCAAAATGGTTTTGCAAAGCACTGAAAAGTACAGGACAACATCTTGTACCTCTCTTCTATTTCAGATACCTCTCCTCTCGGTATCTGGAGTAATACGGTCAAGGCAGATTAAAAAGAAAGAACCAAAGGTATTAGTACTTCTAATGGCATATTCCAATTGACTCCTACGAATTCTTCTTGTTCTTGATTGTATAAAATATTTAAAATGATGTTTTAACCCTTTTTAAATAAAAATGAATTGCCGATTTGAATTTGACAAATTATTTTACTCACCCAATGTTCACTTACTGTGCACCTCTTCGACATTGATCTATACAAAATCCTACATACATCACCATCTCCAAAACCTTAGACATAATAGATCTAGGGTTTAAGCCAAGCATTTCTTTAGCTTGTTACAGCCGTTCACGTTTTGTTAATGGCCCCTTCTTAACTAGCAAGTAAACTAGGGCTAAAATTGCCTGGATTTGATCAAAACAAGTAAACTAGGGCAAATATTGCCTTCCACCCTCTCTAAACTTTACTACTTTAGAATTAGAGGAAATTTAGTTTATACAATTCCAAAATTCCTTGCACTCCCAAATGCAAAGAGACTAGGATGTATATTGTATATAGTGGAAAATTGTAATGGGATGAACCTGGGTTTGGAATCCTTAAAAATTGGGGTCAGAAGTATCCTAATATAACAATTTTTTTCTGAAAAAATATCTTCATAACTTGATCTGAACACCAATCAGCATGTAAATTTCATTTTACCACAAAAATAGTTCACACCAAAACAAAAACACAGTAAATTGCACTTCTAATTCAATAGAAATCTCCAATTAAAATGGATACAAACTCCGGTTGCACTTCAAATTGCACCATACAATTGTACCCTCAATCTTCTTTTGCTCATACAATGAAACCTAGAATATATTGCACGCAAATACATCTACAAATGAAGGCTTAACTTAACCATCCCAACAAAAAAATGCCGAACTAAGTTTGATATAACATAGAAATAGGAGGAGATACAAACCAACAGATCCAAAGAAAAAAATAAACAAAATAGAAAACAATGACAAAACAAACAAAAACAGAAGTAAGGAGAAGAGATGACCGTATGGACGAAAATTGAAATGAATAATCTTTAAGAAGAAGAGCAGCAAGGCTTCTTCGTGTTCGTCTCTGGTCCTCCAACAACAAGAGTCTTACCCTCTTTTATGCTAGCAGGTGCTGGCTCGTCTGAAGAAAGCGACTTCTTACTAATTATCCGATATATCTCTGAAAGAATAGTCTGGAAAGCCTTCTCAACATTTGTTGCCTCCAATGCTGAAGTTTCAATGAATGAAAGGCCTTCTTTCTCAGCAAAGCCTTGAGCATCCTCTGTAGCAACCGCTCTGAGGTGCTTCAAATCAGTCTTGTTTCCGATGAGCATGATCACAATGTTGGAGTCTGCATGGTCCCTCAGCTCCTTCAACCACCGGCTAACATTTTCAAAAGTTGTCGGTTTTGTTGTGTCATAAACCAGAAGAGCTCCCAACGCACCCCTATAATAGGCACTGGTTATTGCTCTGTACCGCTCCTGCCCTGCTGTGTCCCAAATCTGAGCCTTCACGGTTCTTCCTTCAACCTGAACAAATAAAAGTAATCAACAAAAAGTATTCAAGCAGACGCCTGAAAACACTTAGAGTCACTTGTTAAGCAAATTTCATACCTTCACTATGGAAGCACCTATAAAATAAATGAAAGGCGGCATAAATCCTTATACACATGAGCAGTCGTGACTCGTGAAAAAAACTACCACAATTCAAGAAATGTGGTTCAGATATTAAGGACAGTAATTTCAACTGCACATTGAAAGCAGTAGCCAATTTACTTGGTAGGAAAAGGGATGCATTAACTGGAGTGTCAACAGGCAGATATCTTCATATCAACAATGACAGTTGTAGGTTCAAGTCGCTATTTACTTTATCATTTCCTAAGATGTGATGCAAATTAACAACCTCTTGAATCATTCAACACAAGAAGTAATATTTACGACAATTTATTCCCTACAAGCATTGCAAACTAAATTCAAAATTTGAATGCTTAGTAAACCAAATTATGATATAATCATTTTTCTACAGGTTGCCCAAACACCTTTACAACAGCCAAAAATTTCCCAAGGAGAAATTTTTACATGTTCTGAAACTACATAGTCCCGGCCAATCACATGCGGTCATGTATGCAACTGTGGCCGCATGTGATTCGCCCAGACCATGTAGTGGTACCTATGTAATAATGTCTCAACAAAAAAAAATGGGGCTAGTTAGTTAGTGTAAAATTAAGCAAAGTATGCTGCAATTTCATTAAGACCAGTATTTAGATTTATTTATAAATCAATCATTTGTTTGCATCAACTTCAAAAAATAATAAATAAATAAGAGCACAAAACTTTTCGGCCAGACACAATAATGTAGTAGTACTTCAAGAAAACAGATCAACCACAATACATGACATTTATATATACACACATGTGTGTGTTGATAGTAAATCCAGATCTATAATACACAACTCAAGATAATGAAATCAAATGAAAATTTACAATTTTTAAACGAAAATCTGAAATCTACTATAAAAAAAAGTGATGCCGAAATTCAAATCCAACAAGTGAAACAGAGATCGAGAAGCGAAATTCTAGAGAGAGAAAGTAAAAAGACAGTGAGTAAACAGAAAGATCTATCATCTATGCACAGTTCGATTACAACAATGAAGAATGACAAAGATCACAACAATGGAGAAAATGACGGGAAAGTTACTTATAGAGAGAGAAAGTTTGAGATAGAGAGAAAGATAGTGACCTGGAGGGTGCGGGTGGCGAATTCGACGCCGATGGTGGATTTGGACTCCAAGCAGAACTCGTTTCTGGTGAATCGGGAGAGTAGGTTGGATTTTCCGACGCCCGAATCGCCGATTAAAACGACCTTGAACAAGTAATCGTATTCCTCATCCGGTCTCCTCGCCATTTCTGAACACCACACACACAAACACGCCCTTCGGGATCGGTCGCTGGAGGAGAAAAATATATAGATACAAAATAGACGCGTAACTCTCTCTCTCTAGATAAAAAATGATGGTGTATAATGGGCTGAACAGAAATTTGATGTCCAAAGTACCCCCTTGGATTATGGTATGGGATGTCCAAAAGTACCCCGGATATTTTGGGATTTTTAAATTTTGAATTTGCTATTTATGAAAACCTTTTTCAACAATAATAAGAGTGTGATGCGTGTATACACATATATATTGCAATTTACAGTCCTAGATTCCTAATTATAATTTTTTTAAAAAAATTGTGCCGTTTGATAATCAATGTTATTTTATGCTTTTGCATCAATCCGAAGCAGAAACATTGCTTCTGCTTTTAGAAACACAAACATGAAAGCATGTTTAGTAAAAAGTATTGCAAGTTTGAAAATTTGAATAATTTATTTAAAATATTATTTTAGAAAGAAATATATATATATATATATATATATATGAACAGTGCTTTACTACGAAGTAAATAAAAATATCATTTTGATGCTTCCTCTTTTGACTTTAATTTTGGAAGCGTAGATTCATAAACTAAAATCAAGATGGAATGTTAATTCAATGAGCTGATTTTTTAATATCTAAAGAATTAATATCTATAATCACGAGGGTCTACATTTGACTAGTCCTTTAATATTTATTATAATATTAATACAATTGAGAAAATACAAACAAATTAACAAAGCCTTCAAAAAACAAGACAAAAATAAAACAAATACGAGGCATCAAGCTGGCATGATGGTTCAAACAAATAATAAATGGACTTTAAAAGAGGTTGACAAATTTAATTCATTAAAATATGACATATATAAGAGAACATGTTTCAAGAAAAGTCACCAATATATGTTGATTGTGATGAAATAAGGCATGAACTAAGAACAGTATGAATTAATCCATTGTTCTTTGTTGGTTGGTGTTGTTTAATCCCTTTTAAGTTTTGAGTGACGAGATTCTACATGTGTATTTATCATGCAGTTTTTTCAAATTTTAAAATCATGTACATGTTGATTTCAACTTAGGGTTAGGGGGCATAGTGGTAATAAAAAATAAAAAATTAATATGACAAAAATAGATTGTTCAAATCAAGTAGTAAAATTAAGAAGTAGAAAAGAAAGTAGCAAAAGGAAGAATCTTAAGAAGTAGGGAAAAAAAAAAAAAGTAACCTTCCTGTTTGTTTTGACGTAAAATATATATATATATATTTGATAAAGGTTTACGTCGAGATTGAGGTCGAGTTCATCGGGCGGGACATATAAAATAACTTGTCGAAAATTTATAGATAAATTAATTTTGTTAAATTTTAATATTTTTTTTTCTTCCTAAATATTTTAGGAGAAACACTAGAAAATTAAAAAAATATTTTATTTCCAAACACAGAGCCTAAAAGAAAAATGAAATCTTTGAAAGGAAAAGAATTAGAGTTTGGTTAGAGAAGGGAAGTTTAACCTTTTTTTTAGGGAAATTAAAAGAATTTGAGAGAAAAAAAAAAAAGAAGGAGAAGAGTAAGAGATAATTTAAAAACTAACAATTTTAGAAGGAGTATTACATAGAAATTTACTATATATGTAAAAATAAAATAAAAAGTTTCTATATATTGTAGTAGGCGGGCAGGGAAGTAGCAAAAGGAAAAATTTTAAGAATAAAAAATATAAAAATATAAAAGAAATGAAATATTGGAGTTTGATTATAGAAAGAAAATTTAACCTTTTTTAAAAAAAGAATTTGAACAGTAAAATAGAAAAAGAAAAAAAAGAAAGTAACAAATAATTTAGAAACTAAAAATTTTAAGGGGACATTATATAAAAATTTATATGTATATATATAAATTAAATAAAAAGTTTCTATATATTGTAGGCCGGGCCGGGCGAGGCTTGCGACACCCCCAACCCACACGGCACACATCGGTTCTGCCCCCTATCTATCGGTGGCACCCCACCCCCACAAGGCACACACCGGCTCTGCCCTGTCTAAATCCATTATCAGTTGAAGGCATTCACTGTTTGTCTTCTTATGATAGTTTTTTCATTAGCAGTAGAGAAACTTTGAGAATATAATCCAAAGTTTTTTATTCAATTAATAATATTTATATATTTATAAAACAAAAAACCACACCACACCTGAAAAATTATGTCTAATTGAGTGCTCATGAAAGTTTATGCATGTGACCCGTTGTAGCTAAACCTAAATAACATTACATTAAATGTATAAATAAAAAATAAGAAATAAAAAAGCTCCATAACTCCATATATAGAGGTCTACTTTAGGCTGAAAATTTGATGGTTCATGTAATTAAACTTCACATGGGGGATTTGGCTGGGGTCTTTGTTGGAAACGGGGTATACAAAACAAAAACTTTGAATGAAATTTGGAATAGATTCTGCTAAGAATTTTTTGCGGATCTATAGACCAGCCGTTACTCTCCGCAAGAAGATGAACGTGGTATATTTACTTTCTCAAATCCGTTTCTGGGTGAATGAGAAATTAGATCCAAAGTGAGGTGTTTGAAAAGCCTAAATGGAAAAAATGTTGAAACCAATTGAAGTTTAAATAAGTCAAGCTTGGGCTTGGATTTGGGCTTGTGCTTGGGCCTAATTGTAAATTCCGGATTATTCCTTTTATTAAATGGAATTTTAGATTGGGCCTATTTTTGAGTTGGGCTTATTAAAATAGGTTTTACAAATGGGTGGGTTTTTTGGGTGATTGGTTTTTTGAATTAAAAAAACTACTTTTTAGTTTTTCTAAAGGGTTACACCTTTTAAATTAAAAAAATATTTTTTTAGTTTTTCTAAAGGGTTACACCTTTGAAATTAAAAAAATCACTTTTTTAGTTTTTTCAAAGGGTTACACCTTTTTCCGAACCATCATAACCTATGGTTGCACCCACCCGAAAAGGCACCTTACTACCTATAAATACCCCCCTTTGGATCATTTGCAAATCACACCAAATTTAGAGAATTCTTCTCTTCTTCTGAATTTTCTTCTTTTTCTTCCTTCTCTCTTTAGTCTGTGTGTTCGAGCCTTAGTATTTAGGTTCGAGCCTTAGTCAGTCACTCTGAGTCCGAGGTCGAGTCAGAGAGTACTACACCGAGCCAGTTCGCCTATTCCTTTGGTTTGCAGTGCTACTACCGAAGGAAGACAAGTCGTTGTATTCTAGGAGATAGACGTCACTGAGTCCGTAAGCACCATAGCAGGGCGAATCTGTCTTAAGGACATAGAATCAAATTCTAGCCTCGACTTTTAATCAGGTTCCTTTATTTATAATTTTTTATTTTATTTTATTAAACCATACATTATAAGTAATTATATATATAGATTATTATTTTATAATATTTATATATATAAGCATTATATTATTTTATATTTACAGATAATATTTAAATAAATAATACTATAGTATATGGTATACTTAGACCATATTTTGGATAACAATCTTAAGACAGATTCATATTATACTATAGTTTAATTATTTAAATATTGTTGTATTTTATTTCTGTAAATTTGACTGTGGTCTGTAAATTTAATATCAGACAAATGACAAGTATGAGTACTACTATGCCTAATGTTCCCGTCAGTCGTGGGGAGAAGCTCGAAAAATTCAATGGGGCGAAGTTTAAAAGGTGGCAACAAAAAATGATGTTCTACCTTACAACTCTGAATCTAAGCAAGTATCTAACTGAAACTGCCCCAGTGCTAGATGAGGGTGAGACTGACATTACCAAGCTAGGAGCTGTTGATACATGGAAGCATGGAGACTTCCTATGCAAGAACTACATCCTCAATGGATTGGACAACACTTTATATAATGTGTACAGTCCAATAAATACTGCTAAAGAGCTCTGGGAGTCACTAGACAAAAAGTATAAAATAGAGGATGCTGGCTTGAAGAAGTTCGTGGTCGGACGATTTCTGGACTTCAAAATGATAGACTCCAAGACAGTCATGAGCCAAGTGCAGGAGCTCCAGCTGATCCTACATGAGATACATGCTGAGAAGATGACATTGAGTGAATCCTTTCAAGTAGCTTCAATCATTGAAAAGCTGCCACCTACTTGGAAAGATTTCAAAAATTACTTGAAGCATAAGCGCAAGGAAATGGGGCTCGAAGACCTGATTGTCAAGCTAAGAATTGAAGAAGATAACCGCTCATCTGAAAAGAAAGTCGGGAATTCTTCAATAGTGTTAAAGGCAAATGTAGTGAAAGTTGGACAGAAGAATAAGAAAAGGAAGTACTCTGGCGAAGGTCCCAGCCAAGGAAACTACAAGAGGTTCACTGGGAAGTGCTTCATATGCGGCAAGCTAGGACACCGAGCTAAAGATTGTCGTAGCTGCAAAGCACAACACAACACCAAGAAAAAGACCACTGAGGTGCATATTACTGAGGAAGATAAGTTGACTGCTGATGTGTCAGAGCTAAATCTTTCAGCTGTGATTTCTGAAATCAACCTGGTGAGCAACAATAGAGAATGGTGGGTGGACACAGGAGCTACTCGTCATGTTTGCTCTGAAAAGAAGATGTTCACTACCTATAAAGCTATAGATAATGAAGAATAACTCTACATGGGGAACTCTTCTACTGCAAAGGTTGAAGGACAAGGAAAGATCAAGCTACTAATGACCTCAGGGAAAGAACTCACTTTTAATAATGTGTTGCATGTACCAGACATTAGGAAGAACTTGGTCTATGGGTCACTTCTAAGCAAAAATGGGTTCAAGCTGGTCTTTGTATCTGACAAGTTTGTGCTGACTAAGAATGGGGTGTATGTGGGCAAAGGGTATCTAAGTAATGGACTATTTAAGTTCAATGTAATGACTGTTGTACCCAAAGCTAATAATAATAATGATAAAGCTAATGCTTCTTCTGCTTATATGATTAAATCATCTGATGTGTGGCATGGTAGGTTAGGACATGTTAATTATGATACGATTCGTAAATTAATTAACATAGAGTCCATACCTAAATTTAGTATTGATTTAAATAAAAAATGTCAAACATGTGTAGAAGCAAAATTGACTAGAACCTCATTTCACTCTATAGAGCGGAGTACTGAA